CCTGCCCCCCCCCGAAGCCCCCTGCCCCCCCTGAAGCCCCGTGCCCGCAGATGGTGCCCACGGAGCTGGTGGAGAAGGAGTTCTGGCGCCTGGTGAACAGCATCGAGGAGGACGTGACCGTGGAGTACGGCGCCGACATCCACTCCAAGGAGTTCGGCTCCGGCTTCCCCGTGCGCGACGGCAAACGGCGCCTGTCCCCCGAGGAGGAGGTGGGGCACTGCCAGGCACTGCCAGGGGCATTGTCACCTCCCCAGGGGCATTGGCACCTCCCCAGGGCACTGCCAGGGGCATTGGCACCTCCCCAGGGGCATTGGCACCTCCCTGGGGCATTGTCACATCCCTCAGGGGCATTGTCACATTCCCCAGGGCACTGCCAGGGGCATTGGCACCTCCCCCGAGGCATTGTTACCTCCCCAGGGGCATTGTCAAATCCCCCAGGGGCATTGTCACCTCCCTGGGGCACTGTCACCACCCCCGGGGCACCTCTCCCAGGGCATTGTCACATTCCCCAGGGCACTGGCACCTCCCCAGGGGTATTGTCACCTCTCCCGGCGCATTGTCACCTCCCCAGGGGCACTGCCAGGGTCATTGTCACCTCTCCCAGGGACATTGTCACCTCCCCAGGGCACCTCCCCAGGGGCATTGTCACCACCCCCAGGGGCACTGCCACCTTCCTGGGGCACCTCCCCGGGGCATTGTCACATTCCCCCAGGGGCATTGTCACATTCCCCAGGGCACTGCCAGGGTCATTGTCACCTCTCCCAGGGGCATTGGCACCACCCCCAGGGGCACTGCCAGGGCATACCCATGCCCAGGTGATGCTGTCCCCGTGTCCCCTCAGTGTCCCTGTCCCCACAGTGGGGGTGATGCTATATCCCCGTGCCCAGGTGACACTGTCCCTGGGGGTGTCCCTGTCCCCATGGAGGGCGATGCCATGTCCCCATGCCCAGGTGACACTGTCCCCTCGCTGTCCTCTCAGTGCCCCTGTCCCCCGGGTGACACTGTCCCCGTGCCCCCTCAGTGTCCCCGTGCCCATGTGACACTGTCCCCTCTGTCGAAGCCCCCTGCCCCCCCTGAAGCCCCGTGCCCGCAGATGGTGCCCACGGAGCTGGTGGAGAAGGAGTTCTGGCGCCTGGTGAACAGCATCGAGGAGGACGTGACCGTGGAGTACGGCGCCGACATCCACTCCAAGGAGTTCGGCTCCGGCTTCCCCGTGCGCGACGGCAAACGGCGCCTGTCCCCCGAGGAGGAGGTGGGGCACTGCCAGGGGCACCTCCCCAGGGGCATTGGCACCTCCCTGGGGCATTGTCACATCCCTCAGGGGCATTGTCACATTCCCCAGGGCACTGCCAGGGGCATTGGCACCTCCCCCGAGGCATTGTTACTTCCCCAGGGGCATTGTCAAATCCCCCAGGGGCATTGTCACCTCCCTGGGGCACTGTCACCACCCCTGGGGCGCCTCTCCCAGGGCATTGTCACATTCCCCAGGGCACTGGCACCTCCCCAGGGGTATTGTCACCTCTCCCGGCGCATTGTCACCTCCCCAGGGGCACTGCCAGGGTCATTGTCACCTCTCCCAGGGACATTGTCACCTCCCCAGGGCACCTCCCCAGGGGCATTGTCACCACCCCCAGGGGCACTGCCACCTTCCTGGGGCATCTCCCCGGGGCATTGTCACCTCCCCAGGGCACTGCCAGGGGCATTGGCACCTCCCCAGGGGCATTGGCACCTCCCCAGGCACTGCCAGGGACATTGTCACCTCCCCCGGGGGCACTGTCACCTCCCCAGAGCACTGCCAGGGCATACCCATGCCCAGGTGATGCTGTCCCTGTGTCCCCTCAGTGTCCCTGTCCCCACAGTGGGGGTGATGCTATATCCCCGTGCCCAGGTGACACTGTCCCTGGGGGTGTCCCTGTCCCCATGGAGGGCGATGCCATGTCCCCATGCCCAGGTGACACTGTCCCCTCGCTGTCCTCTCAGTGCCCCTGTCCCCCGGGTGACACTGTCCCCGTGCCCCCTCAGTGTCCCCGTGCCCATGTGACACTGTCCCCTCTGTGTCCCCGTGCCCATGTGACACTGTCCCTGCTGTCCTGGGGGTGTCCCCGTGCCCAGGTGATGCTGTCCCCTCGCTGTTCCCATGTCCCCTTGCTGTCCCCATGCCTGGGTGACGCTGTCCCTGTGTCTCCTCGCTGCCCCCATGCCCAGGTGACGTTGTCCCCAGGGTGACGCTGTCCCCAGGGTGACGCTGTCCCCGTGTCCCCTTGGTGCCCTGTCCCCAGGGTGTGCCCAGGGTGACGCTGTCCCTCGGTGTCCCCATTCCCGGGTGACGCTGTCCCCTTGCTGTCCCCTCGGTGCCCTGTCCCCAGGGTGACGCTGCCCCTCGATGTCCCCGTGCCTGGGTGACACTTTCCCTGTGTCCCCTATGTGCCCTGTCCCCAAGGTGACGCTGTCCCCATGTCCCCTTGCTGTCCCCATTCCCCGGGTGACTCTGTCCCTCGGTGTCTCCATGCCCAGGTGACGCTGTCCCTCGGTGTCCCTGTGCCCGGGTGACTCTGTCCCTCGGTGTCCCCATTCCCCGGGTGACTCTGTCCCTCGGTGTCCCCATTCCCCGGGTGACTCTGTCCCTCGGTGTCCCCATTCCCCGGGTGACTCTGTCCCTCGGTGTCCCCATTCCCCGGGTGACTCTGTCCCTCGGTGTCCCCATTCCCCGGGTGACGCTGTCCCTCGGTGTCCCTGTCCCCTGGGTGACTGTCCCTCGGTGTCCCCTCGGTGTCCCCGTGCCCGGGTGACTCTGTCTCTCGGTGTCCCCATTCCCCGGGTGATGCTGTCCCTGTGTCCCCTCGGTGTCCCCGTGCCCGGGTGACTCTGTCCCTCGGTGTCCTCATTCCCCGGGTGACTCTGTCCCTCGGTGTCTCCTCGCTGTCCCCTTGGTGCCCTGTGCCCGGGGTGACATCTGTCCCTTGGTGTCCCCATTCCCCGGGTGACTCTGTCCCTCGGTGTCTCCATGCCCAGGTGACGCTGTCCCTCGGTGTCCCTGTGCCCGGGTGACTCTGTCCCTCGGTGTCCCTGTCCCCCGGGTGACGCTGTCCCTCGGTGTCTCCTCGCTGTCCCCTTGGTGCCCTGTGCCTGGGGTGACACTGTCCCCTCGGTGTCCCTGTCCCCGGGTGACGCTGTCCCTCGGTGTCCCCTCGGTGTCCCCAGGAGTACGCGGGCAGCGGCTGGAACCTGAACGTGATGCCGGTGCTGCAGCAGTCGGTGCTGTGCCACATCAACGCCGACATCTCGGGCATGAAGGTGCCCTGGCTCTACGTGGGCATGGTGTTCTCGGCCTTCTGCTGGCACATCGAGGACCACTGGAGCTACTCCATCAACTACCTCCACTGGTGGGCAGCGGGCGGCCGGGGCAGCGACTTTGGGGTGTCTGGGGGGCATTTGGGGGCCCAGGGGAGCGACTTTGGGGTGTCTGGGGGGCATTTGGGGGCCCAGGGGAGCGACTTTGGGGTGTCTGGGGGTGTCTGGGGAGGGAATTTGGGGTGTTTGGGGGCCAGGGGAGCGACTTTGGGGTGTTTGGGTAGTATCTGAGTGCCCAGGGGGTGATTTTGTGTGCCCAGGGGGGTGATTTGGGGGGCATTTGGGCGCTCAGGCGCGATTTTGGGGTGTTTGTGTGGCCAGGAGTAACATTTTTGGGATGCCCCATCCCCAGGGGTGAGCCCAAGACGTGGTACAGGGTGGGATGAGGAGGTTTTTGGGGTGGTGCAGGATGGCATCAGGAGGTTTTTGGGGTGGAATCAGGACGGTTTTGGGGTGTCTGTCCCCAGGGGCGAGCCCAAGACATGGTACGGGGTGGGATGAGGTTTTTAGAGGGGTGGTGCAGGATGGGATCAGGAGGTTTTTGGGGTGGGATCTGGAGGTTTTTGGGGTGGTACAGGATGGCATCAGGAGGTTTTTGGGGTGGAATCAGGAGGGTTTTGTCTCCCCAGGGGCGAGCCCAAGACGTGGTACGGGGTGGGATGAGGTTTTTAGGGTGGGATCAGGATGGTTTTGGGGTGGTACAGGATGGGATCAGGAGGTTTTTGGGGTGGAATCAGGAGGGTTTTGGCTCCCCAGGGGCGAGCCCAAGACGTGGTACGGGGTGGGATGAGGTTTTTAGGGTGGGATCAGGATGGTTTTGGGGTGGTACAGGATGGGATCAGGAGGTTTTTGGGGTGGAATCAGGAGGGTTTTGGCTCCCCAGGGGCGAGCCCAAGACGTGGTACGGGGTCCCGTCGTTCGCGGCCGAGCACCTGGAGGAGGTGATGAAGAAGCTGACGCCGGAGCTGTTCGAGAGCCAGCCCGACCTCCTGCACCAGCTCGTCACCCTCATGAACCCCAACACCCTGATGGCCCACGGCGTCCCCGTGAGTTGGGGGTGTCCCCAGACCCCCCCTGGCCCTGTGACACCCCGCTGAGGCCAGATGTGAGCCCAGCTGTGTCCCCAGGTGGTCCGGACCAACCAGTGCGCCGGCGAGTTCGTCATCACCTTCCCCCGCGCCTACCACAGCGGCTTCAACCAGGGCTACAACTTTGCTGAGGCTGTCAACTTCTGCACGGCCGACTGGGTGAGCTCTGGGGGCAGAAAAATACCCGGGGGGGGCAGAAAATATACCTGGGGGGGCAGAGAAACACCTGGAGGAATCGGCAAAAACACTGAGGGAGCGCCAGGAGGGAAACAGCGAAATTTGCGGGTGGAGGGTGATAAAGAAAAGGAGAACCTAAAATTCTGGGAGGCACAAAATAGGTTTGGAGTGGCACAGAAAATACCCGGGGGGGGCAGGAAATATGCCTGGGGGGTCAGAAAAATACCTGGGGGAATCAACAAAAAAACCGGGGGAAGGCAAAGAGGGAAGCAGCGAAATTTGTGGGTGGAGAAAGGAAGAAAAAGAAAAGGAGAAGCCAAAATTGAGTGGGGCACAAAATGTGCTTGGAGGGGCACAGGAAGGACCTGAGGAGGCAGAAAAATATACCTGGGGGGGGCAGAAAATGTACCTGGGGGGCAGAGAAATACCTGGGGAAATCACAGAAAAAAATAGGGGAGGGCAAAGAGGGAAACAGCGAAATTTGCGGATGGAGAGTGATAAAGAAAAGGAGAACCTAAAATTCTGGGAGGTACAAAATGTGCTTGGAAGAGCACAGAAAGTACCTGAGGAGGCAGAAAAATATACCTGGGGGGGTCAGGAAAATACCTGGGGAAATCACAGAAAAAAAACCAGGGGAGGGCAAAGAGGGAAACAGCAAAATTTGCGGGTGGGGCGTGATGAGAAAAGAGCCTGAAATTCTGGGAGGCACAAAATGTGTTTGGAGTGGCACAGAAAATATCTGGGGGGGCAGAAAATGTACCTCGGGGGCACTGAATATTTGTCCCCCTTTTTTTGGGGACCCCCCTGACCCAGAGGCTGTCAACTTCTGCACGGCCGACTGGGTGAGCTCTGGGGGCAGAAAAATACCCGGGGGGGGCAGAAAATGTACCTGGGGGGGCAGAGAAACACCTGGAGGAATCGGCAAAAACACTGAGGGAGCGCCAGGAGGGAAACAGCGAAATTTGCGGGTGGAGGGTGATAAAGAAAAGGAGAACCTAAAATTCTGGGAGGCACAAAATAGGTTTGGAGTGGCACAGAAAATATCTGGGGGGGCAGAAAATGTACCTCGGGGGCACTGAATGTTTGTCCCCCTTTTTTTGGGGACCCCCCTGACCCCCCCAATCCCTTTCAGCTCCCGGCAGGCAGGCAGTGCGTCGAGCACTGCCCAGTTTAGAGGTGTGGGCTGGCTGAGCACTGGGGGTACCCAGCCGGGTTCAGGGCTGTGTTTGGGGGGCCCCCCAGGTTTTGGGGACCCCCCTGACCCCCCATTTTCCTGTTCAGCTCCCCGCCGGGGGGTACCCAGCCGGGTTCAGGGCTGTGTTTAGGGGTCCCCCAGGTTTTGGGGACCCCCCTGACCCCCCCAGTTCTGTTCAGCTCCTGGCAGGCGGGCAGTGCATCGAGCACTACCCAGGCACTACACTGAGGTCAGGGGTATCCCAGTTTGAGACCTCAGCACTGGGGGTACCCAGCTGGGTTCAGGGCTGTGTTTAGGAGGTCCAGGGGGTCTCCCAGGTTTTGGGGACCCCCCTGACCCCCCCAATCCTGTTCAGCTCCCCTCAGGCAGGTAGTGCATTGAGCACTGCCCAGTTCAGGGGCACACAGGGGTTCCCAGTTTAAGAGGGCTTTGGGGGTTCAGCCCAGCTGGGTTCAGGGCTGTGTTTAGGGGTCCCCCCAGGTTTTGGGGACCCTCCTGAACCCCTCAATCCCCTGCAGCTCCCTGCAGGCAGGCAGTGCATCGAGCACTACGCAGTTCAGGGGCACACTGAGATATCCCAGCTTTGGGGGTTCAGCCCAGCCGGGTTCAGGGCTGTGTTTAGGGGTCCCCCAGGTTTTGGGGACCCTCCTGAACCCCTCAATCCCCTGCAGCTCCCTGCAGGCAGGCAGTGCATCGAGCACTACGCAGTTCAGGGGCACACAGGGGTTCCCAGTTTAAGAGCTCAGCTTTGGGGGTTCAGAGCTGGGTTTGGGGCACCCCAAAAACTCTGAGGAGAGGTGAGGGTTGTGTTTGTGTTACCCTCAGGGAGTGATGGAGGGGTTGGGGGTACTGGGGGCACCCCAAAAGCTGTGGGGAGAGATGAGGGTTGTGTTTGTGTCACCCTCAGGGGGTGATGGAGGGGTTGGGGCACCCCAAAAACTCTGGGGAGGGGGTGAGGGAGGGGTTGGGGTGCCCCAAATGCCCTGGGGAGGGGTGAGGATTGCATTTGTGCCCTATTTAGGGGGTTATGGAGGGGTTGGGGCACCCCAAATGCCCTGGGGAGGGAGTGAGGGTTGTGTTTGTGCCCCATTTAGGGGGCTATGTGGGTAGTGGGGGTGTTAGGGACACCCCAAAAACTCTGGGGAAGGGATTAAGGTTGTGTTTGTGTCACCTTCAGGGGGTGAGGGAGGGGTTGGGGCACCCCAAAAGCTCTGAGGAGAGATTGAGGGAGGGGTTGGGGTGCCCCAGATGCCCTGGGGAGGGAGTGAGGGTTGTGTTTGTGCCCCATTTAGGGGGCTATGTGGGTAGTGGGGGTGTTAGGGACACCCCAAAAACTCTGGGGAAGGGATTAAGGTTGTGTTTGTGTCACCTTCAGGGGGTGAGGGAGGGGTTGGGGCACCCCAAAAGCTCTGAGGAGAGATGAGGGTTGTGTTTGTGTCACCCTCAGGGGTTTATGGAGGGGTTGGGGTGCCCCAGAAACTCCCCTGCTCTCCCCTGGGAGGTCACAATGGGGTTAGGGGGTACTGGGGGGACCCCAAAAGCTGTGGGGAAGGGGCGAGGATTGTGTTTTTGTCACCTTCAGGGGGTGATGGAGGGGTTGGGGCACCCCAGAAGCTCTGGGGAAAGGATGAGGTTTGTGTTTGTGCCCCATTTAGGGGGTTATGGGGGTACTGGGGGTGTTAGGGACACCCCAAAAGCTCTGGGGAAGGGATGAGAGTTGTGTTTGTGTCACCCTCAGGGGGTGAGAGAGGGGTTAGGGTGCCCCAAATGCCCTGGGGAGGAGTGAGGGTTGTGTTTGTGCCCCATTTAGGGGGTTATGGGGGTACTGGGGGTGTTAGGGACACCCCAAAATCTCCAGCAGGGGGGTCTGATTTTGGTTTTTTTGCCCCCCCAGGGCATCACAGAAGTGGAAAATGAAAGGTCGAAGTTAGGTTTGGGGGGTGGGAGAGGGGATTGGAGGGGTGGGAGAGGGATTCAGGGGGTGTAAATGGGGTTTAGAGGGGTTTGAATGGGGTTTGGGGTCTTGGAGACAGGTTTGGGGGGCTTGGGCAGGGGTTTGGGGGCTTGGAGACGTGGGTCTGTAAGATTTGGGATGGATTTTGGGATGTTGGTGCCCTTGATGTGACCCTGAGGACACACATGGGGTTCACCTGGAGGTCCTGTGAGTCCTGATGTGACCCTGGCTGTGATTTTGGGGGCGCTGAAAATCTCAGGATATCCCTGAAACAGAGGAGGGGACACAACCACAACCCAACAGCTCCTGTCCCAATTTGGGAGCACCTCCCCTCCAGAACCCCATCAGCTCAGTCTGGGGGTCCTGTCCTACCTTTTGGGGCGCACGGGGGGGCTCCGGGTGACCCCCAGTGCCCCCCAGGTACCGCTACACCCTGGACGAGCTGCCGGCCATGCTGCACAAGCTCAAGGTGCGCGCCGAGTCCTTCGACACCTGGGCCAACAAGGTGCGCATCGCCCTCGAGGTGGAGGACGGCCGCAAGCGCAGTGAGTGGGGGTCTCGGCTGGGTTTTGGGGGGCTCTCAAGGGGGGTTTGGGGGGTCAGAGCTTGGCGCTGACCCCCCGGCTGTGCCCGGGCAGCGCTGGAGGAGCTGCGGGCGCTGGAGTCGGAGGCGCGGGAGCGCAAGTTCCCCGAGAACGAGCTGCTGCACCGCCTCAAGGGCTGCCTGGGCCAGGCCGAGCGCTGCGTCTCCGAGGCCCTGGGGCTCATCAGCTCCCAGGAGACCGGGTGAGTGTCCCCAGCTGTCCCCTCGGTGTCCCCTGAGTGTCCCCAGCTGTCCCCTCGGTGTCCCTGCGTGTCCCCAGCGGGGCGGGGTCACAGTCACGGGGCACTCTTGCTGTGTGTCCGGCCTGAGTGTCTCGGTTTGTTGGCTGTGTTGTGTTTCTGTGTGTCCCTGGGCTGTCACTTGTGTCCTTGTGCTGTCACCTGTGTCCCTGTGCTGTCCCTTGTGGGTCTTGGACACTGCTGTGTCCTTGTGCTGTCACCTCTGTCCCTGTGCTGTCATCTGTGTCCCTGTGCTGTCCTCTGTGTCACTGTGCTGTCACCTGTGCCCCTGTGCTGTCCCTTGTGGGTCCTGGACACTGCTGTGTCCCTGTGTTGTCACCTGTGTCCCTGTGTTGTCACCTGTGTCCCTGTGCTGTCATCTGTGTCCCTGTGCTGTCATCTGTTGGTTCTGGACACTCCTGTGTCCCTGTGCTGTCCCTTGTGTCCCTGTGCTGTCACCTGTGTCCCTGTCCTGTCACCTATGTCCTTGTGCTGTCCCCTGTGTCCCTGTGCTGTCACCTGCCTCCCTGTCCTGTCACCTGTGGGTCCTGGACACTCCTGTGTCCCTGTGCTGTCACCTGTGTCCCTGTTCTGTCCCCTGAGTGTCCTGGACATTCCTGTGTCCCTGTGCTGTCACCTGTGTCCCTGTGCTGTCACCTGTGTCCCTGTCCTGTCCCTATGGACTCTGGACACCTCCATGTCCCCATTCTGTTTCCATCTGTCCCTGTGTCCCCATCCCATCCCTGTCCCCTCCATGTCCCAGACTGTCCCTGTCCCCTCCGTGTCGCTGTCCCAGAGTGTCCCTGTCCCCGCAGGGTCCCAGCAGTGTCCCTGTCCCCTCCGTGTCCCTGTCCCCAGTGCCCCTGTCCCCTCCGTGTCCCTGTCCCAGACTGTCCCTGTTCCCTCCGTGTCCCTGTCCCCAGTGTCCCTGTCCCAGCAGTGTGGCTGTCCCCGCAGGGTCCCCAGTGTCCCTGTCCCCGCAGGGTCCCTGTCCCCTCCGTGTCCCTGTCCCAGAGTGTCCCTGTCCCCTCCATGTCCCTGTCCCAGAGTGTCCCTGTCCCGCAGGGTCCCGGCGCCGGCGCTGACGCTGGAGGAGCTGCGGGCGTTCCTGGAGCAGATGAACCAGCTGCCCTGCGTCATGCACCAGATCGGGGACGTGCAGGTGGGACCGCGGTGTCACACGGCGTCACACGGCGTCACATGGCGTCACACGGTGTCATACAGTGTCCTGGGGGTGTCACACAGCATCACATGGCATCGCACGCTGCCACATGGTGTCACACAGTGTCCCTGCATGTCCTAGGGATGTCACACAGTGTCTCAGGGGTGTCACATGGTGTCCCAGCGTGTCCCACAGTGTTCTGGGGATGTCCCAGGGGTGTCACACGGTGTCTCAGGGGTGTCACAGTGTCCCAGGAGTGTCCCAGGTTGTCACACAGCATCTAGCTGCGGGCGTTCCTGGAGCAGATGAACCAGCTGCCCTGCGTCATGCACCAGATCGGGGACGTGCAGGTGGGACCGCGGTGTCACACAGCGTCACACGGTGTCACACAGCGTCACACGGCGTCACGGTGTCACACGGCATCAGATGGTGCCACGCAGTGTCACACGCTGCCATGCGGCGTCACACAGCGTCATGTGGTGTCACACAGCGTCACACGGTGTCCCAGGGTGTCACACAGTGTCCCAGGGGTGTCACACGGTGTCCCAGGGGTGTCCCAGGCATGTCCCACAGTGTCCCTGTGGTGTCACACAGTGTCCCAGGGGTGTCCCTGTGTGTCCTGGCAGTGTCACACACCGTCCCCTGACCGTGTCCCCGCAGGCGCTGCTGGAGCGGGGGGAGGCGTTCAAGGGGGGTCCCAGGGGTGTCCCTCTGTGTGCTGGCAGTGTCCCACACTGTCCCCTGACGGTGTCCCCGCAGGCGCTGCTGGAGCGGGTGGAGGCGTTCCAGGGGTGTCCCAGGGGTGTCCCACAGTGTCCCAGGGGTGTCCCACAGTGTCCCAGGGGTGTCCCACAGTGTCCCAGGGGTGTCACACAGTGTCCTAGGGGTGTCACACAGTGTCTCAGGGGTGTCCCAGGGGTGTCCCTCTGTGTGCTGGCAGTGTCCCACACTGTCCCACCGTGTCCCCGCAGGCGCTGCTGGAGCGGGTGGAGGCGTTCCAGGCGGAGGCGCGGGCGGCGCTGGCCGTGCCCCCCGCGGCCGCGGGCGCTCTGCAGGAGCTGCTGGAGCGCGGCGCCCGCCTGGGCGTGGAGGTGCCCGAGGGCCGGCGGCTGGAGCGGCAGCTGGCCCAGGCCGCCTGGCTGGAGGAGGTGACGGCCACGCTGCGGTCCCCGCGCGCCCGCGTGCCGCTGCCCGTCATGCGCGGCCTCATCCAGGCCGGCCGCACCGTGGCCCCCAGCCCCGCCGTGGACGTGGCCATGGGCGAGCTGCAGGAGCTGCTGACCATCGCCCAGCGCTGGGAGGAGAAGGCGCAGATGTGCCTGGAGGCCAGGTCGGGGAGAGGGAGCCCTGCCCGGGGGAGATGGGGAGATGGAGCGCTGCCCAGGGGGAGGTGGAGCCCTGCTGAGGGGAGATGGAGCTCTCTCCAGGGGGAAATGGGGAGATGGAGCCCTGCTGAGGGGGAGATGGAGCCCTGCTGAGGGGGAGATGGAGCCCTGCTGAGGGGGAGATGGAGCCCTGCTGAGGGGGAGATGGAGCCCTGCTGAGGGGGAGATGGAGCCCTGCTGAGGGGGAGATGGAGCCCTGCTGAGGGGGAGATGGAGCCCTGCTGAGGGGGAGATGGAGCCCTGCTGAGGGGGAGATGGAGCCCTGCTGAGGGGGAGATGGAGCCCTGCTGAGGGGGAGATGGAGCCCTGCTGAGGGGGAGATGGAGCCCTGCTGAGGGGGAGATGGAGCCCTCCTGAGGGGAGATGGGGGGCTGGCCCCCTGCCCGGGGGGATGGAGCCCTCCTGAAGGGGAGATGGAGCTCTCTTCAGGGAGAGATGGGGGGATGGAGCCCTGCTGAGGGGGAGATGGGGAGATGGAGCCCTCCCCAGAGGGAGGCTGGGGGCTGCACTTGAGAGTGCCCCCCCCGCAGGCAGAAGCACCCCCCGGCCACGCTGGCCGCCATCATCAAGGAGGCCGAGAACATCCCGGCGCTGCTGCCCAACATCCAGGCCCTGAAGGAGGCCCTGGGCAAGGCCCGCGCCTGGATCGCCGACGTCGAGGAGATCCAGGTGGGCTCCGGGACCCCCGGGACCCCCCACTGCACAGCCACGGGGCTGCGCTGTCCCCTCAGGCACCCTCGTGTCCTTGTCCTGGCCCCACGGACAGGGGACACCTCCCTGTCCCCATCCTGGCCCCATGGACACTTTGGTGTCCCTGTCCCCATGGGTCCTGGGCATTGCACGTCCGTGTCCTGTCCCTGTGGACACTGGACACCCCTGTGGGGGGATGGAGCCCTGCTGAGGGGGAGATGGGGAGATGGAGCCCTGCTGAGGGGAGATGGGGGGCTGGACCCCTGCCCGGGGGGATGGAGCCCTCCTGAGGGGGAGATGGAGCCCTCCTGAGGGGGAGATAGAGCCCTCCTGAGGGGGAGATGGAGCCCTCCTGAGGGGGAGATGGAGCTCTCTCCAGGGGGAGATGGGGGGATGGAGCCCTGCTGAGGGGGCAGTGGGGAGAGGGAGCCCTGCCCAGTGGGAAATGGGGGGCTGGACTCCTGCCCGGGGGGATGGAGCCCTGCTGAGGGGGAGATGGAGCTCTCTCCAGGGGGAGATGGGGGATGGAGCCCTGCTGAGGGGGAGATGGGGAGATGGAGCCCTCCCCAGAGGGAGGCTGGGGGCTGCACTTGAGAGTGCCCCCCCCGCAGGCAGAAGCACCCCCCGGCCACGCTGGCCGCCATCATCAAGGAGGCCGAGAACATCCCGGCGCTGCTGCCCAACATCCAGGCCCTGAAGGAGGCCCTGGGCAAGGCCCGCGCCTGGATCGCCGACGTCGAGGAGATCCAGGTGGGCTCCGGGACCCCCGGGACCCCCCACTGCACAGCCACGGGGCTGCGCTGTCCCCTCAGGCACCCTCGTGTCCTTGTCCTGGCCCCACGGACAGGGGACACCTCCCTGTCCCCATCCTGGCCCCATGGACACTTTGGTGTCCCTGTCCCCATGGGTCCTGGGCATTGCACGTCCGTGTCCTGTCCCTGTGGACACTGGACACCCCTGTGTCCTTATCCTGGCCCCATGGACACTGGACACTCCTGTGTCCTTATTCTGTCCCCATGGACACTTAGGTGTCCCTGTCCCCATGGATCCTGGACATTGCACGTCCGTGTCCTGTCCCTGTGGACGTTGGATGCCTCTGTGTCCCCATCCTGTCCCCATGGGCACTGGACACCTCCATGTCCCTGTCCCCATGGACCACCATCTGCCACCGTGTCCCCATCCCATCTTGTCCCTGTTCCTGCCACATCCCTGCTGCCACCATGACCCCATCCTGTCTCATCCCTATCCCTGCTGTCACCATGACCCCATCCCTGTCCCGTCCCTGTCCCTGCTGTCACCATGACCCCATCCTGTCCCTGTCCCATCCCTGTCACCATGTCCTCATCCCTGTCCCTGCTGTCACCATGACTCCATCTTGTCCCCTCCCTGTCTCTGCCATGTCCCTGCCACCATCCTGTCCCATTTCTGTCCCTGCCATGTCCCTGCTGTCACCATGACCCCATCCTGTCCCTGTCCCATCCCTGTCCGTGCCACCATGACCCCATCCAGTCACATCCCTGTCCCTTCTCTCACCATGACCCCATCTTGTCCCCTCCTGTCCCATCCCTCTCCCTGTCACCATGTCCCCCTCCCTGTCCCTGCTGTCACCATGACCCCATCTTGTCCCATCCCTGTCCCTACTGCCACCATGTCTCCATCCTGTCCCTGTCCCATCCCTGTCACCATGTCCCCATCCTGTCCCATCCCTGTCCCTGCCATCTCCCTGCTGTCACCATGACCCCATCTCTGTCCCTTCCTGTCCTATACCTGTCCCTGCCACCATCCTGTCCCATCTCTGTCCCATCCCTGTCTCTGCCACCATGTCCCCATCCTGTCCCGTCCCTGTCCCTGCTGTCACCATCCTGTCCCATCCTTGTCCCTGCCATGTCCCTGCTGTCACTGTGACCCCATCCTGTCCCTGTCCCATCCCTGTCCCTGCCACCATGACCCCATCCTCCCATCCTGTCACATCCCTGTCCCTGCCACCATGTCTCCATCCTGTTCCTGTCCCACCCCTGTCACCATGTCCCCATCCTGTCCCATCCCTGTCCCTGCTCTCACCATGACTCCATCCTGTCCCATCCCTGTCACCATGTCCCCATCCCTGTCACTTCTGTCACCATGACCCCATCCTGTCCCATCCCTGTCCCTGCTCTCACCATGACTCCATCCTGTCCCCTCCTGTCCCATCCCTGTCCCTGCTGTCACCATGTCCCCATCCTGTCCCTGCCATGTCCCTGCTGTCACCATGTCCCCATCCTGTCCCTGCCATGTCCCTGCTCTCACCATGACCCCATCTTATCCCTTCCCTGTCCCATCCCTGTCCCTGCCACCATGTCCCCACCGTGTTCCCCCCCATCCCGCTGTCCCCGCTGTTTGTGTTCCTCATTCTCCCTAAATTGGGAGATTTGGGGTGGGGGGCACCGCATCCGACCTTGATTCCCGTCACTGCTCATGTTCCTTATTCTCCCAAAATTGGGGGGTTTGGGGTGGGGGGCACCACATCCGACCTCAGTTCCTGTCACTGCTCATGTTCCTTATTCTCCCTAAATTGGGGGGTTTGGGGTGGGGGGCACCACATCCGACCTCAGTTCCTGTCACTGCTCATGTTCCTTATTCTCCCTAAATTGGGGGGTTTGGGGTGGGGGGCACCACATCCGACCTCAGTTCCTGTCACTGCTCATGTTCCTTATTCTCCCTAAATTGGGGGGTTTGGGGTGGGGGGCACCACATCCGACCTCGATTCCTGGCACCGCTCGTGTTCCTTATTCTCCCTAAATTGGGGGATTTGGGGATGGGGCACCTGCATTTCCCCAATCCTGTCACCTGTCACACCCCTGCTGTCCCCCAGATCATGGCATTCAGGGGTTTGGGGTGGGGGGCACCCACATTCCCCCTACCTCTGTCACTTCTCACACCCCTCACCTCCCCAGATTTTGGAATTCAGGGGTTTGGGGTGAAGATCAGACCCTGTCACCCCCCAGTCCCTGTCCCCTGCTCTCCCCCAGCCCAGATTTTGGCATTCAGTGGTTTGGGGTGGGTGTCACACCTTGTTACCCCCCCAGTCCCTGTCATCTCTCACCCTCTGCTCTTTCTCACCCCAGATTTTGGCATTCAGGGGTTTGGGACGGGGATCAAACCCCAATTTTGACATTGAGGGGTTTGGGGTGGCATTCTCCCTAAATTGGGGGATTTGGGGATGGGGCACCTGCATTTCCCCAATCCTGTCACCTGTCACACCCCTGCTGTCCCCCAGATCATGGCATTCAGGGGTTTGGGGTGGGGGGCACCCACATTCCCCCTACCTCTGTCACTTCTCACACCCCTCACCTCCCCAGATTTTGGAATTCAGGGGTTTGGGGTGAAGATCAGACCCTGTCACCCCCCAGTCCCTGTCGCCTGCTCTCTCCCACCCCAGATTTTGGCATTGAGGGGTTTGGGGTGAAGATCAGACCCTGTCACCCCCCAGTCCCTGTCACCTCTCACCCCCTGCTCTTTCTCATCCCAGATTTTGGCATTGAGGGGTTTGGGGTGGGTGTCACACCCTGTGACCCCCCAGTCCCTGTCCCCCGCTCTCCCCCACCACAGATCATGGCATTCAGGGGTTTGGGGATGGGGCACCCACATTTTCCCAATCTCTGTCACCTCTCACACCCCTCACTTCCCCAGATTTTGGCATTGAGGGGTTTGGGGTGGAGATCAGACTCTCTCACCCCCCAGTCCCTGTCCCCTGCTCTCCCCCACCCCAGATTCTGACATTCAACGTTTTGGGGTGGGTGTCACACCTTGTCACCCCCCAGTCTCTGTCCCCTGCTCTCCCCCACCCCAGATTTTGGCATTCAGTGGTTTGGGGTGGGTGTCACACCCTGTGACCCCCCTCAGTCCCTGTCCTCTGCTCTCTCCCACCCCAGATTTTGGCATTGAGGGGTTTGGGGTGGGTGTCACACCCTGTGACCCCCCAACCCCCCTGTCCCCTGCTGTCCCCAGATCGTGGCATTCAAGGAGGGCGAGCAGAAGGAGAAGGAGGGCATGCTGCGCCTGCGCCACGCCAACGCCCAGAAAGCCGCGCCACCTCTGCCAGGCCCGGGGCCACCGTCCTGCGTGTGCGGGCAACCCGCAGGGCCGGCCATGCTGCAGTGCCAGCTCTGCCGGGACTGGTTCCACGGCTCCTGCGTGGCCTGGCCCCGCCTGGGCGCCCAGAAACCCTCCCCAGCCTGGTGGGAGTGGGACGCCAAGTTCCTGTGCCCGCTGTGCCAGCGCTCGCGGCGGCCGCGCCTCGAGACCATCCTGGCGCTGCTGGTGGCCCTGCAGAAGCTGCCGGTGCGGCTGCCCGAGGGCGAGGCCCTGCAGTGCCTCACCGAGCGGGCCATCACCTGGCAGGACCGTGCCCGCCAGCTCCTGGCGTCCCCCGAGGTGGCCGGGCCGCTGGAGCGCCTGGTGGCCCTGCGGCACCGGCTGCACGGGGACAGCGACGGCGCCCTGCGCGAGGCCAGCCGCAACGAGCAGACCAAGGTGGGTGCCAGGGGGGAATTAGGGGGGTTTTGGGGAGATTTATGGGGGTTTTGGGGGAATTATGGGGGATTTATGGGGGTTTTGGGGGGCATTTGGGGTGTCAGGGCCCTGCACGAGGCCAGCCACAACGAGCAGACCAAGGTGGGGGTTTAGGGGGGAATTAGGGGGGTTTTGGGGAGAATTATGGGGATTTGGGGGGAATTTGAGGTGTCAGGACCCTGCGCAAGGCCAGCCGCAACGAGCACACCAAGGTGGGGGCCGGGGGAATTATGTGGGTTTTGGGAGAATTATGGGGCTTTTGGGGGGAATTATGAGGGTTTTGGGGGGAATTATGAGGGTTTTCGGGAGATGTATGGGATTTTGGGGAGATTTATGGGGGTTTTAGGGAGATTTGCAGGGGTTTTGGGGGGATTTAAGGAGTTTTGGGGAGATTTGGGGTGTCAGGGCCCTGCGCGAGGCCAGCCGCAATGAGCAGACCAAGGTGGGGGTCAGGGGTTATGGGGGGCTTTTGAGGGAATTATGGGGGTTTTGGGGGAGTTTTGAGGTGATCTATGGGGGTTTTGGGGAAACTTATGAGGTTTTGAGGAGATTTATGGGGTTTTGGGGAGATGTGGGGGGAATTTGGGGTGTCGGGGCCCTGTGTGAGGCCAGCCGCAATGAGCAGACCAAGGAATGTGAATCAGAGGATTTAGGGGGATTTTGGGGAGATTTATGGGGGTTTTGGGGGAATTATGGGGGTTTTGGGAGGGGGTTTGGGGAAATTTATGTGGGTTTTGGGGAAATTATTGGGGTATTGGGGAGATTTATGGGGGTTTTGGGGAGATTTAGGGAGATCTGGGGGGAATTTGGGGTGTCAGACCCCTGTGCAAGCAAGGCCAAGGTGAGAATGGGGGGATTTATGGGGGTTTTGGGGGAATTACGGGGGTTTTGGGGAGATTCATGGAGATTTTGGGGTGATGATACTTTGTGCAATGCCCACCACAATGAGCAGACCAAGGAAGGGTTTGGGGGCAGTGGGGAGGTGGCTTTGGGTGTCAGACCCCTGTGCGAGCAAGGCCAAAGTGAGAATGGGGGATTTATGGGGTTTTGGGCAAATTCATGGAGATTTTGGGATGATGGTTCCCTGTGCAACGCCCACCACAACGAGCAGACCAAGGAAGGGTTTGGGGGCAGTGGGGAGGTGTGGGGCAGCTTTTGGGGTTCTGGGGCAGGTTTTGGGGCTCCGGGGCAGGTTTTGGGGTTCTGGGGCAGGTTTTGGGGGCTCCAGGGCAGGTTTTGGGGTTCTGGAGCAGGTTTTGGGGTTCTGGGGTGGTTTTGGGGCTCCTGTGCAAGCAAGGCCAAGGTGAGAATGGGGGGATTTATGGGGGTTTTGGGGGAATTACGGGGGTTTTGGGGAGATTCATGGAGATTTTGGGGTGATGATACTTTGTGCAATGCCCACCACAATGAGCAGACCAAGGAAGGGTTTGGGGGCAGTGGGGAGGTGTGGGGCAGGTTTTGGGGTTCTGGGGCAGGTTTTGGGGCTCCGGGGCAGGTTTTGGGGTTCTGGGGTGGTTTTGGGGCTCTGGGGCAGGTTTTGGGGCTCCGGGGCAGGTTTTGGGGCTCCACGGCAGGTTTTGGGGTTCTGGGGTGGTTTTGGGGCTCCGGGGCAGGTTTTGGAGCTCCAGGGCAGGTTTTGGGGCTCCGGAGCAGGTTTTGGGGTTCTGGGGTGGTTTTGGGGCTCTGGGGCAGGATTTGGGGCTGGGGGAGGCCGAGCCCCCCAGAACACCTTCCCTGTGTCCCCCCCAGGTGTCGGTGGAGAACGGGGACGCCCCCAGCCCGGAGAAGAACGGACCCCTGCCCTCGGGTGAGTGGGGTCGGGGCCTGGGGGACCCCGCAGGTGCCCTGGGAGGGACAGGGGGACACGGGGGTGCCCTGGGAGGGACAGAGGGACACAGGATCCCCTGGGGCCCTGTGGAGCTCAGTGGGTTGGGGTGGTTTTGGGGCTCTGGGGCAGGATTTGGGGCTGGGGGAGGCCGAGCCCCCCAGAACACCTTCCCTGTGTCCCCCCCAGGTGTCGGTGGAGAACGGGGACGCCCCCAGCCCGGAGAAGAACGGACCCCTGCCCTCGGGTGAGTGGGATCGGGGCCTGGGGGACCCCGCAGGTGCCCTGGGAGGGACAGGGGGACACGGAGGTGCCCTGGGAGGGACAGGGGGACACGGGGGTGCCCTGGGAGGGACAGGGGGACACGGGGGTGCCCTGGGAGGGACAGGGGGACACGGGGGTGCCCTGGGAGGGACAGAGGGACATGGGGATCCCCTGGGGAGGGACAGAGGGACACGGGATCCCCTGGGAGGGACAGAGGGACACAGGATCCCCTGGGGCCCTGTGGAGCTCAGTGGGTACAGGGGGGTCCATGCGGTGTCCCCACGGTGTCCCCACAGAGCTGGAGGCGCTGAGCGCGGCGCTGCCGCAGCTGCAGGGCCCCGTGCTGGAGCTGGCAGTGGGGACATGCCATGTCCCCACAATGTCCCCTGAGTGTTCCCACAGTGTCCCCACAGAGCTGGAGGCGCTGAGCGCGACGCTGCTGGGGCTGGAACCTCCTGTGTCCCCATGTCCCCCCGCAGAGCTGGAGGCGCTGAGCGCGACGCTGCTGGGGCTGGAACCTCCTGTGTCCCCATGTCCCCCCGCAGAGCTGGAGGCGCTGAGCGCGACGCTGCTGGGGCTGGAACCTCCTGTGTCCCCATGTCCCCCCGCAGAGCTGGAGGCGCTGAGCGCGACGCTGCTGGGGCTGGAACCTCCTGTGTCCCCATGTCCCCCCGCAGAGCTGGAGGCGCTGAGCGCGGCGCTGCCGCAGCTGCAGGGCCCCGTGCTGGAGCTGGCAATGGGACACGCTGTGTCACTGTGGTGTCCCCACGATGTCCCCATGTCCCTGTGGTGTCCCCACAATGTCCCCATGTCCCCCTGCAGAGCTGGAGGCGCTGAGCGCGGCGCTGCCGCGGCTGCAGGGCCCCGTGCTGGAGCTGGCAATGGGACACGCTGTGTCACTGTGGTGTCCCCACGATGTCCCCATGTCCCTGTGGTGTCCCCACAATGTCCCCATGTCCCCCTGCAGAGCTGGAGGCGCTGAGCGCGGCGCTGCCGCGGCTGCAGGGCCCCGTGCTGGAGCTGGCCGAGGCCACGCGGCGGCCGCTGGAGGAGCTGATGATGGAGGGGGACCTGCTGGAGGTGACGCTGGACGAGGCCCAGAGCATCTGGAGGCTGCTGCAGGCCACGCGCCCGCCCCCGCTGGCCCTGTTCCGCCTGCTGCTCGAGGTACGGGCACCCCGAAACTGCCCGGGGGGCAGAACGCATCCCCAAAACTGCCCGGGGGGCAGAACGCACCCCCAAAACTGCCCAGGGGACAGAACGCACCCCGAAACTGCCCGGGGGGCAGAACGCACCCCGAAACTGCCCAGGGGACAGAATGCACCCCCAAAACTGCCTGGGAACCCCCAACCTCCCTGGGATACAGATTGCACCCCAAAACCTCCCCAGGGTACAGAACACACCCCAGAACGCACCCCCAAAACTGCCCAGGGGACAGAACACACCCCCAAAACTGCCCGGGAACCCCAAACCTCCCTGGGATACAGAATGCACCCCAAAACCTCCCCGGGGTACAGAACACACTCTCAAAACTGCCTGGAGGACAGAACGCACCCCCAAAACTGCCCGGGGGACAGAACGCACCCCCAAAACTGCCCAGGGGACAGAACACACCCCCAAAACTGCCCGGGAACCCCAAACCTCCCTGGGATACAGAATGCACCCCAAAACCTCCCCGGGGTACAGAACACACTCTCAAAACTGCCTGGAGGACAGAACGCACCCCCAAAACTGCCCGGGGGACAGAACGCACCCCCAAAACTGCCCAGGGGACAGAACACACCCCCAAAACTGCCCGGGAACCCCAAACCTCCCTGGGATACAGAATGCACCCCAAAACCTCCCCGGGGTACAGAACACACTCTCAAAACTGCCTGGAGGACAGAACGCACCCCCAAAACTGCCC